TATCAACCCCATTTCGTATGATTTATGCGAAAAGCACATGCTTGTAATCGTTTAATCTTCTGTGGTGGTCCTCGTTCAAGTGATTGCCTTCTAGTGTGGGATGTATATAGCCGTGGAGCAGTCAACGGGAGGCTACTGAATTCCTATTGTTATGAGTGCTCTATGGTGTATGTATTTCTGATGTCTTTGTATATGCATACCGCATGAAGTGAGTGCATATTTCAATAAATGTATCGCGAAAAACCTAAAATGAACATTTCGAATTTAATTTTTCTTTTCGAAAAACGCGCTTAATGTTTTTTTTAGAAAGAAGGCAGGAACGTTGCTAATATCTCTATTTCTTTTCTATAAAATGTTTATACAATTTTTACACAATTTCTATCCACAATCTATTCACCAAGTAGTTTCTTTGGTTTACTCTGGACAACTTCTTCCGTTCTTTCTGCTAATTCCGAGTTTTTAACGTAACGCCCTCTTCCTTTATTGTTATTTCTCTGTTCTCTCAACGTAACGTCCTCTTCCATCAAGACAATTTCATTTTGGGAATTTTTTCATACCGAAAAGAAAGACGAGAGAGAAACGCTACCTTTTTCTCGTCTTCTCTGTGATTATTAAAACGACAGTTGTGAGTTAGCGCTTGTACTGTCAGTTTGTTTTTGACCTTCGCGCTATTTATTTCGAAAATGCTTCCACTGCTTCAACCCACCGACTCTGCCGACGTCCGTTTCCGCCGACAAGTGTGTCTGAAACTCAGCAGTGGGTCGGAGAATCGCGATCGACATGGAATGTGCCCCAGGAAGCCACGTGCACCCAGAGGTCAGCTTTCGGGGGAAATCTACGAATATCGGCGGAGCGACATTTGGGTTATCTGAATCGAAATCTGGAGTTGGCACTCCTCCAGAACGACCAGGGAAAGACATCTGAGTGCATCGCGAACGCCCAGTGGTGGACGCGCGCCCCAAATAAGTTTATTGTGAAGCGCGGCCAAACGACAAGTGGAAGTCGCCTTAAACGGGTAAACGGCGATTTTTTCATGGTCCTCAATTTGCTTTAAATTTTTTCCAAACTCATCAGCAAACATCGTTAAAATAATTTCCAAAATATAAGGTCAAAATATTGTTTTAACGAGGTTATTGAATTTACAATTTCGGTCCTCACCGTGTTTTTCAAATCGAAAGTCTCTACTGTCAGCAACGAAAAAGTGACGTCAGTGGAAGGCATGGGTTCACTCCTTGGACTCCAGAATTCGTTCACAACTGATTCGAAGCAGTTTCATGGAGTCAAAGAAATGATCTGAAAGCTCGCTCCAGTACCTACGCTCCAGCACGGAACACATGATTGGCATATTTTATTTTTTAGACTGCTTGCTCGACTGGCAAGTCTTCCTGCCACTGTCATAGCGGCACTGAGAAGTGCGGCTATATTTGAATGTTGGCTTTTCAATCATATTCATTTGCCGATTTCACAAAAACTATTATGAATTTCGCGATAGTAAATAGCGTACCGGAAAGGGTAAAGGCCGGGGAGTCAGAAAATATAGTTAGCTGAGGCAGCTAAACAAATCGCCATAGTCGCCCTTAAAAGGACTTCAAAGCCCTTTTAAGGGCTTTGAAGTCACCGAGTGTAGGAAGATTGAACAACATAGCCGATGTTGTCTGCAGTAAGCCAATATATTCTTTACCAAACCTGTAGCAACATTAAGTAAAGGAAAAGCTCTCACAACCTCTCTATTCTCTAATATTGGTGGTTGGTACCTCTACACTCGCCTCCCCACTGATTTTCTACGTTAAGGCTGGACAACACAACGCAAACTTTTCAATGCGAAATTCACGCCGCGAAAATCTACAATTACGCGCCGCCGCGTATTTGTTCCCTGCTGAGACGAACAAGCTGCGAACGCCACCGACGCGAACCGCGCGACTGTCAGTGTTGCCACGGGGGAAAGGGAATATCCATCGAAATCAACCCCTTACAAAGCATTTTTTTTTTCAACACGTCATAGTCATAAAAATCGCATAACAAATTTGACTAAACTATGAAGTAATCTTTATTATTATACTTTTGAGTCTAAATCAGCCTTCAAATGTTTGTCGGAAAAGAGATTGTCTAGATGGGCGGCGGGGAGCATGCTTACACTGCGCATCGGAACCAGGCGGAAGCCAAACAGTGTACTACGTCGTGATTGGCCAAACACCTTCACCGCGTGTCGTCCGCTTTCGATAGCGGCGTTCGCCGGGCGAACAATAGTTACTTCTGGCAAACCGTTAAGGATGGTTCACACTGCTCCATTTTTTTACGTGAAGTTAAGTTACTAAATATTACGTTGAAGTCACCGGGACCTCTGTGCTTCATATTTAGCGATCCTGCCAGTTCAAGGAGAAAGTATGACACGCGACATTCAATACGCGGATGTTTCGGTGACTTATACGTAACGTAACTTAACGTCAGAAAATGGGACAGTGGGAATGAGCCATTACCGTGTTCCGCGTACCCTAGGAGAATTTAGAATTATGTTTCTAAGCGCGCACCCGGGTGACACCTTGACTGCGGGGCGCGTGCTTAAACGCATGCTTCAAAGGCTCGGGAGGGCCGTACGGGAACACGATAACGGATTCCTAAAAGTCTCGAATACCGAGCTCAGCTGGATATCCGGTGAACAGGCAGCTTTTGACGCCGCGGCAAGAGCGAACGCTGCCGAGCTAAGACCGTCGCTTATCCGACGCATATTCGCTTCATGGAGTTCAGCCTTTAAAGTAGCAAAAATAGAGGGCTTTGTGGAAAGATTTCATTCTTATATTTGGTCGCGTATTTTCATACTTAGTTTTTATCCGAGTAGCGGGGGCTATGACGCACGTTCGCAAAAGAGGCTGTTTTTTGTGTTTCGTAAAAACGCGACAGTTAATCTTCTATATCAAAAGTAAAGAAATACCTTAGCATAGCAGAGTATTACGATGCCATTAGTACAGGGCAAAAGCATTTCACTGCTAAGATACAAATGTCTTTTAATGTGTGTCGATGCAGAGAGACACACACTCAAATGTATCTCTAAGATGCTATCCCAAATACATTTGCTTCCCGATACTGCCCAGCCCTGAGATTACCGAACTACTTAAATTATCAAACATTTATACGGTTGATTTTATAGTGACTAAGAATTGCTGTACATATCGACTATTACTTAAAAATAACTACTTTGTAATCTGTTTTTTCCCGAAACATGAAATTATTCGGTAGCTGTCGCTTAACGCTGCATATGAAGTGAAAGCTTGTTGAATTACTCGAAATGTTTGAAGGCACACAGAACGTGTCTGATCTTGGAGAGTGTTTCAGATACCCATTTTTTTTTCAAGCAACCCCGTCAAATGATATTTGTGGTCGCTATCTTTCGGGGTAAAAAGTGTGTGATTGGGTTTGAGTGCTTGCCGAACAACGCTGATGCAGCGCTCGTGTTTCTCACAGGAGGTGGGCCTAGCTCATGCCGATCGCTGACACGAAATCCGCGTTCATCACATGTTCAGAGTTCGTGCTGAGATAATGGCAGGCTGTGATAATTGACCAAGCTGCTACCAGATGGCGTGAAGATTTCAAAAGGGTCTGTTTTGACCAAGCTACGACGGCAGTGCATCATCTACCTCCCTGTGACCGCTATAACAATAACGTTATGATACCCGTTTTTATATATATTTTTTTAGAATTCATATTTGTATTTTTGCAGTAAAGGAACAGAGACTGTGCTGCATCGCAGCAGAAACTACGAGTTATCTGAGCGCTCTCGTGCTCTGAGACAAATTCCGCTTTTCAGCCAGTATCAGCAAAGAACGGTCGCCGCTAATCAGGTTCTGCTGCGGGAAGGCAGTGACCCGCTAATACTGAAATACGGCTTAGCTTTAGTGGAAATGTTACCCTAGCTGACCGCTTTCTGGAACAACTCCAGCGTTCGTGTGGAGCCGAACCGAAAGTTAAGGATGACAAGTGGCAAAGGGTTGTTCTACAGCAAATGCTTACTTATAAACTAGGGCTCCAGGAACGCGTATCCCACTTTCGTGTTTACCGCGTTCTCGATTCCCGCTCGATTAATTGATAAGACTGTGATGCTGTGGCCTGTCTCAACCCTGTGGGAAGCGCAACAATGGAGGTTAATGCGGCAGGCCGCTGTTCTGTTGTAGGTCGCTTCAAAGCCCGACAGTCGACGGAAACCAACGCGAAAAAGGAAATGGAACACTGCAACACCCGTGAATCTTCCGCCCCCCCGAATTATTTTCTTTTCGCCAGCAATTCAGGAGTGACCGCCGGGATCGCGACATTCGACAATATCAACTGCCGGCTTCCCTGACGTCATTTGTTGCCACTTTGTGACTACGTTTTATACATAGGCAGAATAATATGATAAACGCAACTGTTTACAACTCGTTGCAAGCACCGTTCATGAACATACTTTAATGGTATTCGTTATAATACCATCAGATCCTTATTTCCGCGGACTTCCACAATGTTGTGATCTTGGTTGGAGTAGTACAGTCCAACATAAACTTTGCAAATTCGCTCCTATAAAACGAGCGATATTTACTTCTTCGTTGTTGCGTTATATGTTGAAATTTGTTGCCATTTTTGAGTACACTCACGCCCGAAAGGTGAGCGTAGCCCAATTAAACAATAGAGCGTAAATACGTAAGAAACAGCGCACAAAGATCTCAATTGCATCGCTACCTACGCCGAAGAGATAAATTAGAGAAGGCATAAAGTGTCAATTTCCCAGGGTTGGCATGCGTTCGAGACTTTACTGTACCTAGATTGTGTATTTACACCAAATTAAAGAGGTTAGAAAAGTCAAATTCGGGGGTTTTACATGCCAAACAACCGAAGGGCATCTGACGCGCCCCAGCGAAGAATTTCGACCATTTAGGAATCTTAGAGGTGAAACAAAAATGGTATATCCAATAAATTCTATATTTTGCTAGATTGCAGACGCAGTCGCCAACATAGCATAGCCTAGCGTATAGCTATACTAGACAGCTTGCTTTCTTCTGCAATGAACGTGTTAATATTTTGTGTGGTGGAATATCTGCGATCGTAAAACTAACTTTAGGCTTCTATTTTTCCACACATATGATAGCGTTGCAGATTGAAATAATAATAATATAAAAAGAAAAACTCACCGACGACAACAAATCGGACGGTGGTATTCCGCGAGTGCCCGCTGCCGAACGTCGCCAAGCAGTCGTAGAGTCCCGCATCGGCGGCCTGCACGTCGCCGATCATGAGCAGCGCCGGTTCATCGGCCGACGAGAAGTACGCCCTGCCGGACCAGACGCGTCCCGGCTGGTGCGTGGCCTGCAGGAAGTTGCCCGACCGCGAGCCCATGTCGACCGAGTACACGGGCGCCGGCAGTCCCCGCTTGAACCACGTCACGGCCGAGGCCCACGAGTCCTGCGTCGAGTGGCGGAGGTGGCACGGCAGTGCGGCGTCACCTCCCACTCGGCTGGTGACGACGGTGGCCCCCGAAGGGTCTGCAAGAAGAATGATCGACTCTCTAGTTAAAGGTGCCAAGCTGCGTTGACTTCTGAAGCACATAAAATGTAATAGTTATGAAGTTTTGGAATACCGTTAACCTTTCATTCGTGAATAAATAATACATTCATGTGGATGTTTTCAATTCAATATATTTTCCGAAAAAGGTCTGGCTTATATCTGAGACCCATTATAAATTCCTTCTTATCTTCAGTCACATGCAATACATGTCTGGTTACAATTTAGTCGAACGTTCGCCACAATGTTTCGGAGTTAATTTGACGCCTCGCGTAATTTTTGTATATTTTTAAAGACATTTTGTGCTTAAAGGCCGACTTACCAAATAATTACCTGCAAGGTGGGATAGTCCTCCTCACCACCCTTCCATTTTCTTTCGTTCGCACTCCTATCTTGACGGCGGAGGGGGGGGGGGGGGGGGGGGGGGCTCGTTTTGCTGCTTCATCTTGGGGCTGGATAAGCCGGGAGCTTATCCCGGCTTAACCCGCTCCAAGATGCAGTAACAAAAGGAGTCCTCCGCTGTCAAGCTAAAAGTGGGACGGGGAATTGTTAAGGGTGGCGAGGAGGATTTTCGTACCTTGCTGAAATGATTTTCTGTAGGTTGGGCTTTAAGTGGGATCTTACAGCACAACTAACTTATCGCACTCCGAAAAAACGGCAGCCAAAACTTATTAAACAAAGAAAAGTCTCAAAATGCGACTAATTGCGAACACCTCAAGGATACGCTAAGCATGTTTATTGCGAATTAAAGTAGATTGAAATAGTGCGTACGTAGTTTGTCAAAACCTGCATACATGCTTTGAAAAGCGTTCAAAACATGCAATGCGTCTTGAAATGTAGATAAAAAAATCCCAGTTTCACTTTTGCGCTTTAAAGGATCTTCAAACGAACTTTTGGTTTATTACTCGCTTTAGAAAATTAGTATATTTTAACATTCATTTTACACACAAAAAAAAACTGGAAACTATAAAAATTGCGGGACTATTTTCTTGTGCAATGTCTCGTCATTCAATAAATAAAAAAATACTTAATCATTTTTAAGCCTTTAATTTATTGATGACCAGGGTTTCGGAAGCTTATTTGACAATGTACGCTTCCGTACATTTACGTAATCACTTTTTTGGTTTCTTTATTAAATACACACAAATTAAAAAAAATCATCCTAGAAACAAAATATTTTTGTAAGTGTCGTGCTGAAATTACAATTCCCGAAAAAAAGGTGATAATCCGAGCATACGAAAACGGCACTTCTAGAAAATTTACGACGCGACGTCGCCATTTTTACTCTTTTCGTTCCGCGACGCGTAAAATGTCTTAAGTTCGGAGCTTCCTTAAATACTTGAAACGACTGCGCGGATGAATAGTATATTGTCTAATTGAAAACTACGAATGACAAAGGAGCTAGTTCTTTGCAATTCGTAAATTGGAAACCGTATTTTAGCCTTAAAAGCTATATAACACGCAGCTAGAATAAAACCTTGTCAAAATTAAGTGACAATTGTTTGTACAGAAAGTTTCTACTAAGGCAAATACACATTAAACAAATAAAAAAATAAAAAGTAAAAATATTATTTTACTAGAACTTTGTAGACCACGTCATACGTCAGGGCATGAGAGTAGAAAGGAGCAGTTAGTGGTTTAGTTAACCAACATTTTCTAACTATCATTTCAGCTGTTATTTTTAGTGGAGCATTTCGTTTTGAGAATTGCAGCCCGTCATTCATTTAAGCCCAATTACTTACTAGAATAGAACAAGAAGTTATCCCGTGGCACTTTTGTAGATGCGGCAGTCCGAAAGTCAAAATAAGAGAGCGAATTGCGCGAAACGCCCTAAGAACACTGAACCCCCGAAGCCAGAGCAGTGTCACACACTGTTCCGACCATAGAGTTATTATAATGTAGGAGAGAGGTTCAACTGGAAATAGTGTGCTGTTCCAAATCGAAGCAGACAGCAACAAGTAAAAAATTAACTTCCGGTAACGCATTTCTATAGGGAAACCGGTTGCATTTCTTCTCGATTCTTGATTTAAAGAGCACGTGTTACGAATAGCAATAACGTAAGGTATATATCTGTATCGCGAATATAAAAATATTGGTAAGTTGGAGTGTTTTTTTGTTTGTCTTGTTTTTCAAATAGATGGCGTTAAGTAGAGTGCTAAAAAAGCTTCATGCATGAATTTACGCGCACTGTGAAATACTCTTACCACGAACACGGCGTCGGCGCTTTTCAGTATGAGCGATTTACGTGCCAAACGAACGATGGACGTCTGAAAAGTCGAAAGTCAAGAACTACTCAGCAACACCGAATCAGTAACTTTTTGTGCAGGTCTACCAGTGGTCTCTAAACTTTGTGGCTAAAGATTAGGTATCAATCCCAGTCTTGAGGGATGAAAAAATATATCAATTATAAACGAAAAATAACCGAAGAAATAGCGTTTAAACACAGAGATTAACATTAAAGTAAGTATTACAAAAGCTTAAGGTAGATGCCCACATACACTTCAATGTGAAATTTAATCTTTTAGGTAATTATGACATTACACGACAATGGCGGCCAAAATTCAACTCCCCAGGCTTAAATTAAAGCGCATGAGAATTCAGCATATTGGTGCAGTGCGAAAGACCAAGGAGAATGATAAAACGAAGGTTGGAAATGTGCAATAGTTATGGCAGATATCACTATGGGCACAATGTACATGATAATGTAAAGGAATTTTAACAGAGTTAAACGAACATGAAGCGGGGGATCGAGAATGGTGACGTTGGTGATGATAATTTTAAGTTCAAAATATGGCGGGAAGACACGCGTTATGATGCAGTTTATTTTTAGTTTTCTTGTATCTTCTTTTGCGAATTTCAAGCGAGGTGTGCTCCAAATGCGCAAAGCGCACCAAATGCTCAACGCGCTCCAAATGCGCAACGCGCTCCAAATGTGACACCGGCCGGTTGGAAGAAATCCGCAGGTCGGATTTGGCCCACAAGCCCAGGTTCGGAGACCCCTGTTGTAGAGGATCGAAATAAAGTGAAGGCCAAATAATATAGTTTGATTTGCAATAAATAGGCACTGCTTCATTCATTCCGATCACGTGTATGTGTGAAGATATTCGCTCGACGTTCAAAAAATCACCTGCGCTGAAATATTTTTGAAAGTAGGGAGAAACCAGAGAAGCCAATAAAAGCCACCCGGCATCGGAAATAATAACAAAGACTTTTACAGCCCTTGCACTTTATGCATTACGTTCTGAATGTTTTAACAGCTCGATAGGATGGAAGCTTGGGCGAGTTGGTGAACCATACTTGACGGTGACAGCGCAGGAAAAATCAATCTCACACCAGACACTCAGGAAGACAAGCACACGCGCTGACTTGCAACTCTTGTGTATTCATCTACTTCATTTTTCTCTTCAACGTCTGGCTTGACTTTTCAAAACGTGATAAGTAGAAGAAGTAGCACGAAATACAAACATAAAGCTGGGCGAGATGCACGACGGGGTCATTTTAATAAATTGAGAAGACTGGAATATTAACCCTATTTAAGCGCCACCGGAATTCTGGCGAACCTTGAACACACTCTACATTCCTTTCGATTGTTATAGTGAGTCGAATCGTCGCTTGTTATTACGCACTCGCTATAGAGCAGAGGTTTGGGCCTTAAATATAGCGAAGTTAAGCATCCTTCTAGGGCGAAGAAAAATTCCGTAACTAATGCAATCACATTTCTGCAGGGATAATAAATAAAGCCCCGCATATTGGCGGATCATCCGCGGATATCCGCAATCAACTGGCGGATTATAATGATTCAGATTTGGCGCAGTGCAGATAGTATGCGTATGCCAGAGGCTGCAGTTGCGGATGCTATTGAGATATCCGCGGGTGTGGATCTCCATATTTGCGGTGGCGGTCCGCGTGTGCGGCATCAGAGTGTACAGCGAATAAATAACGGGTACTAAGAAGTGCGCCATCGAATATTTCGCGGGACAAAATTACGGCCTTGGAGCCAACCGGTGATAAAATTCTTATTAACACCAAGAAAGATCTCATTCTGACCAAAGGTCGCTTGGGAGCGTTTTATTTTGTCAAAAATACTGTTTCTAGAAACATTTAAAAAAAATGCAGAGCCATCATCGTCCCGGGAAAGCGTGTTCTTGTTTGGCAGGGAAAGAGCGGAAAACGTTACTGGCCAAAGAAATCCCAAAACATACAAGCTACAAGAAATGGAGAATTCTTCTCGTCAAGTGAAACGTGGTCTGCTTGCGTTTTTTTTTTTTTTTTTTTTTTTTTCTTGACTAGTTTGTTGTTGATAGGTATGTGCATTTGAAGAACGCAGTTTTCGGTCGTGTTTAAAACTGAAACCTTTTGGAGGTGTTGCCAATATTGAAAATTGGGATATTTCCTCAGTCACTTACTTGCGTGTTTCCACGTATAAATTATACGTAGCAAGACGCTACCCTTGCCGCGAACGAAAAAGAATTTTATTAGTTTATCCTTTCTTAAGCTTTGTGTTTAGAAAATATACGTCTGCTTTAAGCTGGTGTTCAAAAAATAAAATAAAATCGTACTTTTTTTTTAAGCACATCATCTGAGAAGAATGCCACAGATTCCCAGGACGATGTTATAACTGCGACCCTCTTTCCAGCGACGCAAAGTTTCTCTGGAAGGATGATCGCTCATAATAAAAGTACGATAAAATATAGTACGATAAAATGACTTGCACCATATTCTGATTCGAAAAGTTCTTTTTGAAAAATTAGCAAACGGCGTATTAGGTACCATAAAGATTCATCATTTTTTTCTAATTAATGCTAGATTTAATGATGTATCATGACTGCGCGGATGGGGGGCCCGATGCGGCTCAGAATTTCGCGGATGGGGCTCAGACGCGGTTAAAAAATTTGCAGATACGAATCGGATGCGGATACAATATTTTAAGTACATTGCGGATGTGGTTTGGGTGCGGAAGAAAAGTGTGCGGATGCGGACC